TTACCGTCAGTATTGATCATTTTTCTAATTTGGGCTAGGATGGCAATACGCAACGTTTCAGGATAACGTCTGCGTAACATTTTTCGCTGACCATTTGTACACCCAAAATTTTAAATATTTTTTAATTGAAATAATTGGAGAAATTTAAAAAATAAATATATTTGCTCTTGCTTTTCTTCTTTTCATATCTATTACAAATTAATTTGAATTTAAAACATTTTTTTAAAAATTTTTTATACTGTTTGCAATTTTGGTAATAATTTTATTAATTCTTAAATATGTAAAAAAGAAAAAGAAAAAATAAATAAAACAAACGCATTTGGGTAGGACTTTTCAATACAGTCCATTATACGAGTAATGCGTTCTTCTTCATTTATTACGCAACCTTTAACCCTTGAAAAATCAGCTCCCAAAGCTGTGATGAACCGCTTAAAATTAATTCAAATTTATTCTAGTTACGTACTGGAAATTACTGAATTGCAAAAAAGATGAAAATACCAAATTTCTTTAGTCAGAATTGAAAAAATCATAAAAGTTTATTGAGTATAGCTATCTTTTTAACGAAAATGATTCAGTATGATTATATTTTTTTAAAAAAGAAACTGCAATTCAATTAATTCATAAAATTAATTTTTTTTTGTAAAAGACAAAGTAATGAAAGTGTGAAATTCAGCACGTAATTTTTGAATATTCAAAGTCAATTCTTTGGTTAATATTTACTGCAAATCACTTACACCACATTTATTAACGCACGGAATAAATGAATTAATATATCCATTTTTGCACATTTGTGTTTCTGAACACATACACTGTTGTATGAACTGCGCTTCACAAATCACAAAATATACGTTTAAAAATCCAATTGTGATATAACAGTAATTCATTTCTGTAAATTATTTATCAAAATTCATAAAGTTTATTAATAAATATTTGAGTTAATTAATAATTTGAAGTAATATTTTTCATTTAGTAAATATTTGAAAAAAAAAACGATCTCAGATGACACTAAATAAGTAATAACGTTTGCAAGTATAACATAGCGTGAACTGAACGTGTGTATTTCAGCTTAATATGTGAACAATGGAAATAGCAATTGCAACTGTTTGTGATGAACTGAGCGGAAGCAATAATAATAATAACAAGAATGACAAGAATGAAATGAAAACATGCATTTTCCAAAAAGTACCAATCTTGCAGGTGTTGACAACCATTTACCGTCAATTTTTCTTTAAACTGGTCTTAAACTTTGTCAATTTATATCACAAATATCGAAAAAGCAAAATAATATTTGCAAAACAACAATACTCATTCTAGTCCAAGTACTTTCGCTTTTTTCGCCATTTTAATAAACAAATTTAATTCTTCCACAGTCCTTCAAAAAATAGTCTGCTAGGTATTTGATTGCATTTCCCTCCTTCTGAAGGTACCAAAAATATTCAAAGGCGCCAATAATATTGCCAAACTACCAATTCTAAAATTTGCAATACAAAATATAAGCAGATCACACTTCCAAGTCATCACCTATTCTCAGCCACTATTCTGAATAAAGGACCAAACTCATTTCAACTCAAAAAATGTAGCCAACTGCTAATTTACAGGCCTTCTCCAGATTTCCATTCTATGTTGATTGCTTTATGTACTGTACTTATCAATCCTTCTAACCACCAATTCCCATACAAATGTTGATTATTCATGAGGGTATCAAACATATATTTTATTTCGAATCAAAAAGCATACAAGGTGCTTAAGCAGTAGAAAATATGAAGCAGTGAACTGAATTACCAGCTTGATTTACACTATTAACTCACACTGATGAAAATAATTTACAACACTGACATTTTCTTTAATATTTTGGAATCCACTTTACCAACCCTAAACACCATTTACCATTAGTTATGAACAAACTAACTAGGCTAAACATCAAAAATTAATGACTTCAAAAAATCGAACACAGGCTAAATGCAAATACAAAATCTGTATAATTCCTCTCTATTCCCCTCCCATCAAAAACTGTGTTCATAACATTAAAATATAGCTCATCCCCACAATATTTGCCTTATTTTAAAAGCTTAACAGCTTATTACTGCTTAACTTTACCAATTAATAATAATCTCATGACTTGATTAATAAAAGCAGCTATAGCATTCAACATTCAAAAAACACTGCAAACAAAATATCAAAATCACCAGTTTCTAATACCAGTTACTTTCGTTTACTGGAACATCCACATTAGATTGTAGACATACTTCACAAGCACCGTATGGCATCCACTTCCGAATTAAAATTTAAAATGACTTTCATAAAGCTGAGAAGTGTCCAGATAAAATGAAAGCTCAAAAAAAGCCAACTATCTGTAAATTTTAAATTTTACTTATTGGGCAAAAATTCATGAAACTGAAATTAAATCTATAACCCAATAAAAATCACGAACATGGAAAGAAGAAATACAGTTATTTACCTTTAATTTTTTGCATTTTTCCGGTGAAAAAGTTAAGAAGACTTTGATTGCGAAGACGAAGGGACTGCAGTGTATGCTTGCAATTAAGTTGGAAAAGGTGGATCAAAATTCAATGGCGTAAATCGATTGGATGAGCTTTTATCAAGATCGATATCTCCTTTACGCTGTGCACTGATCCCTCGACTGCTGTATTCAAATGCACTTCGAATGAAGCGAAGTAAACATAAATGCAGGATATATTGTAGACCCAATGCTCCAATACCCTGAGAAAAAGCTTCATTTAAAAAAAAGGACATAAATTTTCAAAACATTTTGATGTTGGCATATGAAAACAAAAAATTTGAAAGGGAAAACAAAAATCGAAAAACACCTTAATATGCTTAAAATACTTGTGATTCAAATTAAGAAGAATGATTAAAAAACTCATGAATTTACACATAAATAACAATAAAGGATAAAAATCTTTGAAACTAATGAATCTGTGAATACTTTCAAACTAAACGTACTGCGTAAAGAGACCAGAAACCTTCACGACTGGTAACAGCATTGAGACAGTCAAAAAATCCCGAATATTTAGCTGTGATCGAGATAGCTGTGACACCATTATCGAGATTATCGATTAATGTGCGAGTTCCTAAAATTCCAATCATACATACTTTGAGCACAAAACAGAGATCAACCACAAATTACTATAATTCTTACCCTGAACGTAAAGACGATGAATAATGGTTTCCAGTGGATACAGTGCAAGATCCGCAAGCATTTGTGAAGTCAAAATTGCAAATATTTCAGGAAAATAGTGATGAAAAATACTTTTCTCATGCAACGGTTTTCGATTCTAAAACCAATATTCAAACATTTTTTTTCATTTTTTTAAGCATCCAAACCGATAAAAATAAGTTTAAAAAAATTAATAGGAAACTTAAAAATAAACTTACTACATAGCGCTTTGCCAAAACATATATTGAGTCATGGATGCCTGTTGTTATTAAATAATGTGATGTAACGTAACAAGCAGTTGGTAGAGAAAGATATAACAATGAGAAACGTTTGCTGTTATCTTTTGGTCCGATGAAATCGAATCGCAAACGATTTATCCCATTTGTTATCACATCCATAAAACGAATTTCGTCACCCATACCACTTTCGCTCTAAAATATAATTTAAATTCACCAGCTTTACTCAAATATTGAAAGGAAAGAATTTTCCAGGAACTATGTATTTTTAAGCATATATCTGAAAATAAGATGAAAGAAAAGCTAAGTTAATCTGAAATTAAAACAAAAAAATTCCTATTACTGAAATCTTTCTTATAGTCTTAACTTCTTACCAAGATCGATACTCACGATATTCTACCAAATATATGAAAATACTTTCATAATGCCCTCATCACTTAAAAAAAGTTGTTATTAACCTTTATAGTTTCGATGAATGATGATACAATAAAGGGAGTCAAGGCAATCGCGGTCGAACTGAAAGATATGATTCTGTTTTACTGCTGAATTATTCGATCAAATTCAACGAATTAAAAAAAAGTGTCTCACGTTTTTAAAGCAACATGACGAAGAAACTTCTCGGTGCTGCCACGCTTTACATAAGTTCTGAAACAAATCTATAATAAATAACATCGTAACGAAACAAAAAAGAAAAGTATTTGAACAATCAAAACAGCAACAAACCGAGGGAAACCAAAAATATCAGCAATTACTATCTCTGCTAGAGAAGATAAACTCCATAACACACTGGAACCGATAGCACCTTTCCATAAAGTTCGAAGACCCTGAATTGAAATAATTTTTGTTATGTTTATATACAAAACTCAACAAGTTCACAACTACTAAACAGCACGTCCCATATAACGCATGACAAATTTAGAGTGGTTTTTACACACTAGCAGATTTACACAAAATGATTTTACTAACCTCAGAGCTGACGACTTTATAAATAATAGGAATCAAGGTAAAAGGTGTGAGATGAAGTGACATAGCAAACTGATGTACTTGACATTGTCGCCTCAGAACTGTACACGGATGAGTGACAAGAATTTTTGTAAGAAAACTGAAATTATTTGTCCACAAAAATTAGTAAACGTGATAGAGCAGTTTTGAAATATGAGCAATTTCGAAGCTAAATTAACTAGATGTGACTTGAAACAAAAAGGATGAAGCACGCTTAGATTTAGATCACAACAAAACCAAAAATAGGAAAAAATGTGCGCAACAATTCATAAACAATGATTTCACAGCATCATTTAATGTAGTAAGTTGATTGTTTATGATCTGTAATTAAACAATGCATCATCATTTAATAGATCTGATGGAATCGATCAAGAACTTTTTTCACAATTTACTGTTTTGTGATAATTTTAAAGTAAGATGCAATTAGCATAAACTGCATTTATAAAAGTATGACTTACTCAGTCACATTTAGTGTAACAACAGCCAATGGATCTTGATGTTTTTGCGGCGAGAACAAAGGTTCAATATTTGATGGAGAAGGTGATTCACGTAGTCCAACGCTAGGTTCGAGAAGCGAAAACTTACTTATGTCTTGATCTCCTTTAAGCAGTCTTTGATCGAAACCTGTTTCGTTCCATTTAAAAATTATTTTCAATACGAAACACCAACAAGTCAAGTAGTAAATTAGAGAAATTCATTTAGTGAAAGGATTTTTATTTTTTGCTTGAATCGAAAGCCCGGATTGCTATTCTTGGTACAATAGACGCAAATATTTGTAATGAATTCACCTTGAACGTCGATATCATTCATCCGTTCTTTTGAAGCTGAAAGTACTATGTCATCTGTACTACGAGATAATTTAAAGCCACGCTCGACGAACTGATCATGCAAAATATCGTCATCGTCTTCGTGGAACGGACCTCGGCTAGAATCTGCAACAATATGTTGCCGCAAAAGTTAAAAATTACTTAAATAGTAAATAAACCTTGAACTTTATACCAAGAAATTGTTTCAGTTATAACAATGTATATTAGAATCTGCCTATGGCGCCAAGTTTTTTAGATAAAAAAGGCTGAAAGAAAGATAAACATTAAAATCAGTGCAATTTGTATTTTTGTCTTCTAATTATACTTAAGTGAGTATATAATGTAAAATAAGATTTTCAAAATTTCATGACGAGTCACATATCTATTTTCTGTATTTTGAATGATGAAAATCGACAATATATAGGTTTCAAAACAGAGAAATCAAAATACTGCGGAAAAACTTACGATGCATTTCAGTGATTAGATAGAGCTTCCCGTCATGGATTATTGTTTGCTAGGTATGATTGACAAAGGCCTGCAACTGTCATTTTTACAAGTACATATTAATATATCCATTAAAGTTAGATGAATTAGAAACTAAGTATCAACTTATGAATGATAACTCTTTGTTAAATGTCATATATTTTAAAATCACGAAACAAAATCTAACGTAATATATTGCAATATGACTCTGAACCTCAAACGTGAAGGTTCAAAAGATGGAAAAGAATTAAAGAGGGGTCAACGTAGAAGCAAATTTTGTTCTGTGGGGTATGAGTCGTGGAACAGCTAGAAGATTAAACGTGTAATTTACATCTGTATTTAGTGCTAAATTAAAAATGAATTCAATAATTTTAGCAATGATACGAGTAGAACGTCGTCTTATTGCATCATTGAGTCGAATGCGATTGAAACTTCACGAGAAAGGATCAAGTCAAATTAGAGGTTCGCTGATTAGCACGCCATCTCAGAAGGTTTTATTTTAGTTAGAAATGCATTTTAAATATATTCTGTGGATTCGGCCTATGCAAGAGAATATGAGTACATGAAAGTAATTAAGAACTGAACCCTTAAAGTAATTAATTTTTAAAATAAAACTAGTTTGAGTACAGTTATACAGATAATTCCAAATATAACCATAAAGATAGTTAAAAATCATTAGTGTTACATTACAGTACTTTGAAAATTCTCTTGCAACATGAATTCTTCATTGTAAGAATAAGCAATACTGATTTCTGTTTTTGATTTTCAATTGCATTTGTAAGTTTCAAGCTTGCAAAATTTTGCGATTAAAAAATTTGGTTTTACAGAGTATAGCACTACCTGAAATTTCTCTTTTGATATTGCTACAAGAAGGCTCAGGTATTGGAAAATGGAGTGTAACAAAGTCCTTGCAGTATGTGTGGTCTGCGAAGAAAAAACTCATCGACGATTTATTAGATCAATGTATGTTTGTCTTATCTTTTGTAATATTTGTAAGTTAATGTTTCTATCAATAATTTTAAGCCACAGTTCTATGAAATTTGAAAACATCAAAAGAGAATGTAAAAGTTATGTTCACTATTTTCTTAGCTTATTAGACTATTGCCTGAATCCGCCCACCACTTTTTACATTTAATTTAATTGAAAGCTGAAGAGTTCATGGTAAGGCAATTATAACAAGTATTTTATTCTGGAAATGTCGGCTTAGTGAAATACTTGGTCGATTATATTACACTTGAAACTTGGTCATTTGATCAATTTACTATTAGTACTAATTCCTTTTTGTGTTAACTGAATTAGGAAGTAGTTTCATATAGAATTATCTTTACTAGTAGATGTTCAAAAATTTGAGCGACACTTTTTTTCATTAATTATGATTCAAATGTTTCCAAAACAGGATTTGTAAACATATATTATTTTTTAACTGATAGCACTTAGTAAGAAAGGTGATACTTTATCCCAACGAGTTTATAAGGTGAAATTAGTATAGAACTGGTTAGTTACTCCATTTCAGTCGAAAGAAACTTGAAAACAGCAAGGAAATTAAGCCAAGAAATGAGTGAGAAACAGTCTAGTGAACCGTCTTCTAAAGAAAGCGGTGGTAAAGAACCTTCAGAGGGTTCAAATCGAGGCAAGCGTCCTCCTAGCTTACCAGATATACCAGTGCCACCGTTGGTTTTGTTTTTGCTTTGTAAACGTACAATCTGCTATTGAATATAGTTATGTTTATGTGCTCTGAATATTTCTGATGTTTGCACAGGATAATCAAAAATTACTATTATTTAGGTTGTCAGCAATTTTAGCTGCAGTCGTAGCGTTTGCAGTACTGTTTGCATTAACAAACAAAGGTAAAGAAATATCATGGAAAGAATTTTACACGGAATATTTGGAAAAGGGCATCGTTAGTTTTTCTATTTTAATTTTCCATCATTTTCGTCATCCTGATGGGTGCTGTTATATGTCTCTGCTTTTTCTAATTTTTTTATTTTTTTTAGCACTCGAAGAGTTTACCTTCCATGAGCTTTGTATGATTTTTGAAGAATCTCTAATTTAGATTGATCGCCTTATTGTTCACAGAACGTGGGTGGAGGTAAAAGTACGAGAGGATGCAAGTTTTGGAGTGAGCTATTTATTTTATTGATTGCTACATTTGTTTTACTATTTTACATTTTGTAAGTTCAGTTTTGTGCAGGAAAATAACTAACTTATTCATTGAATAAATTTAAAAGAATAAGTATAGGGATCAAAAGAATGTATTTGGTGCTAGTGTACGTAATAGCATTAAACGAGTATTGCACGTTTTTCCAGATATTTTACTTCGTTAATATGAAATATCAGTTTCTATGACTGTCATAGAATCCCCAAAATAACTAACTAACACCTGAAAATTAAACAGAAGTTTGCATTGTCATGTATTTAGGTCACACCATATTTTTATATTGGAAGCGTCGAAACATTTGAACGGTCTCTAGCAGCCGCTCAACAACATTTAGGGATTGATCCTGTAAACCAAGTCACAGTAATTTACAATCCAGTCGATACAACGTAAGGAGTTTTTGCTGAAAAAGAGAATTGAAATTAATATTTTGATCGAATTTTTTCTAGATCGGTAATAAGTAGTTTGATTCCTGTTGCTATCTTATTCTTGTTGGGCTGGCCAATAATCAGAATGTTCTTCAGCTCAAGGCGAACATCAGGTTTAGTTTGTTGGACTATATCTCAGTCATTGTCAGTTCATATGACAATAATTCTGTAAAGAAGAGTTGCAGGCGGTCGTGGTGGAGGCAATCCTTTTAGTGGGGGAGGTCCATTCAATATGTTTGGATTTGGACAGAGTACAGCAAGATTAATTAACAAAAATGATATCGATATAAAATTCAAAGATGTTGCTGGTTGTGAAGAAGCAAAAATAGAAATCATGGAATTTGTCAATTTTTTGAAAAATCCGGAACAGTACAAAAAGCTCGGTGCAAAAATTCCAAAGGTATAGAAATTTTGTTTTCAGATCTGTCGTTTTATTATTGAAGCAAATTGTACTTTTATTTCATTTATTCACTATTATGGAAATCAATAAGAATATGAAATAAAAAGATCATGTTATGTTCAGGGTGCTATTCTAACTGGTCCACCAGGAACTGGCAAAACTTTATTAGCTAAAGCAACTGCTGGAGAAGCTAATGTACCATTTATAACTGTTAGTGGTTCAGAATTTCTAGAAATGTTTGTGGGAGTTGGACCAGCGCGTGTCAGAGATATGTTCTCAATGGCTCGCAAAAATGCTCCCTGCATACTGTTTATAGGTTTGCTTCTAAACTGTTATTAAATCATTCTTAGTTTCTTATTGTTTATTGACGTTTAGTTGTATCGCTATAAGGAGTTTGGTTCCAGTATAATGTTTTAGTCAGACTTTGAAGACTCTTTAGCTGTAGCTTTGAAATAAAATAGGAAGCATCAATGGATTTTTGTTAATTTTGATGCTTGTTAATTTTTCAAGTTAGAGACTACGGTTCTTCGTTGCTTGTTTATCTTAAGTAGGCTTCAAACATCGCTTTACAAGTTTTTAGAATAGGCATTCAAGAAAATCCATTAATAGCCAAACAAATTAACGAAAATAACATGCATTTTGGATTAGTCGGCTTTTAATGAATATATTCTCTGACAGATATTATTATATTATAATTTGAAGATGAAATCGATGCTGTTGGAAGGAAGCGCGGGGAAGGCCGATTTGGTGGCCATTCAGAGCAGGAAAATACTCTCAATCAGTTATTGGTAGAAATGGATGGTAATATATTATGAGCATTGTAATCCGTTATTGACTTTTTGTGTATGAATTATGAATTTTAAAAGCACTGGGTAGAAGCTCTTAGGTTTCTCAACGGAAGAGTCGTCAGTTATTGTGATCGCAGCGACAAATCGTCCTGATATATTAGATGCTGCCTTATTGAGACCTGGTCGTTTTGATCGACAAATTTACATACCTGTGCCTGATATCAAAGGAAGGTAAGCATGTAAAAAATTCATTTTTTGTGGAAAAAAGGTCACGAGAATGTCAATGACATGGTTTATAATGTTAAGAGCCTCAATATTCCGCGTCCATTTGGCCAAGCTAAAAACAAGTCTGGATAAAGTGGAACTTTCAAGGAAATTAGCTGCATTAACTCCTGGATTTTCAGGTATTTTTTTGCTCTTTCAATATCGCCTTAAATATTTTTCACTAATTGCGAAATAATGATCATAAAACGTTTACAGGAGCCGATGTTGCAAATGTTTGTAACGAGGCAGCATTAGTCGCGGCACGTGATGCTGGGAATGAAATTATATTGAAGAATTTTGAGCAGGCTAGCAGAAAAATTTTTCGTAATCGAAAAATTAATATACATTCATTAAATACTAAAGATTTAATCAGTACTTTTATATGCTAATAATTACAACTTTCAAAACAAAGCAAAAACATTCAAGATGATGCTTCATTTGTAGTTGTTTTATATCTTTTTTTATAATTTTGGTTTGTGTTATGTTCAGGCTATTGAGAGAGTTGTTGCTGGTATGGAAAAAAAAAGTCAAGTTTTACAACCGGAAGAAAAGAAAATTGTTGCATTTCATGAAGCAGGACATGCAATTACTGGTTGGTTCTTGAAACACGCCGACCCTTTGTTAAAGGCATGTTCTCATAAATATTTCTGATGATTCAAAGTTTCATAATGTCTTCTTTAGAATAATCAGAGATATTTAGGTTTCTATAATACCACGAGGTAAAGGATTAGGATATGCACAGTATTTACCGAAGGAGCAGTACCTTTATTCTACTGAACAACTTTTGGATCGTATGTGTATGATGTTAGGAGGCCGTGTTTCAGAAGAGATTTTCTTCGGGCGGGTCACAACAGGTGCACAAGATGATTTGCAAAAGATCACTGAAATGGCTTACTCTCAGGTGCCAAAAGTTCTAGTTCATTTTAAATTGTTGAATGCTGTCTCTTAAGTAATTTCTAATGTTGCGTGTTGCTTATTTTGATGGTCAAATTTCATTTTCTTGATGAAGTCGTTTTTTGTTTTTCTACAACGTACTGTTGGTTGTCAAAATTATAGATTGTAAAATTTGGTATGAGCAGAAAAATTGGCCCATTATCATTTACGGAAGGTTCGAATTTCCAGAAGCCATATTCAGAAACTACTGCAGAACTTATTGATCAAGAAGTATAAAAAATATTTTACTTCAACTTTTTTTTGACACAGACTCATATTCTGAAGTGCTCTTTTATAACAGCATATTAAAATTTGATTTTGCCATAGAAACACTTTTAGACAGATCATATTCACATTTTTATACGACTTTTCGATCTCTTTACATTTTAGAACCAAACACAACTTCATTCGCTAGAATTCTTGTAATTTTTAAGGTGCGTGATCTCGTAGGAGAAGCTTATAAAAGAACGCGTAAATTATTGGAATCAAAAAAAGCGGAAATTGAACTTGTGAGTTTTATTTGAATTTGTTAGCATACTTGTACATTTAACAATTTTATGGTATTTAATTGCTATATTCGATCCTAGTTATCCAATTATTTTTTGTCCTACTGTAACTTTTTTGTGCTTAAGTTTTTGCTCTTGATTTGCACTCTTCTTGAACTGAGCTCCTTTTTAAAATGTAGGAAGTTCTGCTTTAGGTTGCCCAAAGGCTACTTCAGAACGAAATTATAGCTAGAGAAGATTTGATTGAATTATTGGGTCCTAGGCCTTTTGCTGAAAAACAAACGTATGAAGAATTTGTAGCGGGTACTGGTGGACTGGATGAAGATGTCACATTGCCAAAAGGTTTAGAGTCGTGGAATAAACCGAAAAATTCGAAGGATGAAGGGGTATCATTATTTTTAGTAATGAAGTATTGTTTTCAGTTATAATATAAATTTGGCTACTAGCACATTTATTAGTTGTGAAATGCGATCACCATTCATTTCATTCATTGAACAAGAAAATTTGATACTCGCTGCTCATAATTTCTAATCATAATTGATCCTAGTTTAATTGATTGCCCTGTAAATATAATAACTGCAGAGGAGGATAAAATAGTGCCTAAATCTTCTACTTTACCTTTGCAAAAACTCTTTAAAAACTCTAGTGTTATAGAAGTATCAGGTGGACATATTAGCTATTTGATAAATAGCAAACTAACAGATTTGTTTAAAGAATATAAACATTAACGTTGCCTTGTGGTTTGTCAGCATTAGACAGTGCTTGTGGGGTTTGTTTAGTAGGACAGTTGCTTAAAACATTAAGCGAAGAGCTGTCTTAATATAATAACATCGCTAAAGTTAGTATGTGTTTTTTCCTTTTCTTTAAAAAACAAATATTCTACTAGATATTAAAAATAAAATACGTTACTTAGCATTTTTTTCCCTTATTTTTCTTCATAGCGAAGCTTATTTGATGTGCTGTCACTAGTCCTTCTATAAATTGTCATTTCTGAATTTTATTCGCTCTATATTTTAGGCAGGAACAGCAAGTGGTGCGAACAAAGCGAATAGACAGGAATAAAACTTAAAATTTTTTTAATTTAGGACTTCACTTCTTTTACGAAATTATTGTTCCATCTCTTTTTGTATGATATTTTGCGTAGAGAAGGCCACATTTATAGTTGAAAATGAGCAATTCTATTCCAATGAGTATTGCCGGTGAAATATATTCATCTGAATTCTTTAAGCATTTTAATATCTTGACTTCCTGTCTGCCTCTGTTAATTTTTGCATACAAATTTTTATATATTTTGACAAATGTTCCGTCGAACACTGTTGATAAGTTCGTATTTTTTGCCACATAGTTTTTATCTGATTTCATTATTCAGAATCTAGGCATAAACTTTCGAAGATGAAATTTCATTTGCAGTAATTCCAGTTTTTATGTCAGTGTATATACTTCAATGAGGTACAAGTTCCTGATATTAATCGTCTTTGTACAGCTTCTTGAGTGGTTCTTAAATTCATTTTGATGCCATTTTCAGTTGTTATATTTCAGTGTTGCTCTGTTTTCATCGCAAAATTTTCATTTTATGCATAAATTATTCGGATTAAAAAGGTTTTTGGTTTGTTTGCATTGTTCGAAATTTGCAGCCAATTTTTCTTAAAAGATGCAGGTTTCTAAAACGTACTAATTTTCCATTACGCGTATAATGAAATTTGTTTGGAAGTGTTGAGCTTAGGTGATTAAAAGAATCAGTATAAATATGCAAAGAACAAAAAATTATTTTTCAGCTATTCCTTATCAGACCTATGTAATTTCACTGGAAGTATTGAAGGATGTCACGTGGTGGTCGAGGTGGATCTTCTGGAGTTCGAGCTGTAGCTAATGCATTAGGGATAGCTAAACATGAATTGAAGTTGTTTACAGGGGTAATCACTGAGTCGCAACCAACATATCCAGTAAGGTGGTTTCATCACTTAAAAAACTTTGTATGTCTAGCATATTTCGAACTTGAAAACTGCTGTTAAAAAATTCCGAATTTTAACTTCACATATTTTCGAAACTTCCAAGCTCTTATTTGACCTGAAATCACAGTTAAAATTGAATCTGGATTTGTAGCCAGTATCGCGAACAGTTGCTCCTCTTGAAGATTCAACGGAATTGCAATACATGACCGAATTACGAATGGAATTGCTTACACGTTTTCATGATTCATCCTTTTATATAGAAATGAAAGACCAGAGCGCAGACTTTCATCGATATACAGACAAGTATCAAATTATTGAAAAAGAAAAATTTCTGCCAGGTTTGTAACTATCTCTTTATCTTCTATTTGTGAACTGAACATCTCTATAACTTGAATGGTTTTGGTTTCTATGAATTTAAGCGCATTGACTTTGCGTAATTTTTACGAAAAAGCAGCTTTTTCTTAGTTTTTAATTTAGTGTAAGCAAGCATAACACATTTATTTCAAGATTGGTCTCGGCTTCCAGACGAGTTAGTTCCTAAAAATGATAAAGTTGACAGTCGAAGCCAAAAGAGGCGAAAACTAATGGACAAAAGAGAAGAAGATTTGGCTAAAAAGTTATCAGAACTTGAAAAAGAAGAAAAATCAGGAAGTCTTGAACCTGAAGTGCAGGATGTTCCTGATGAAAATGATGAAGAAAGTGAGAAAGAAGAAGGGAACAATGAAGTTGAAGAGCAGGTTAACGAATTAAATCATTTTTACCTACATTTTTGGGATTTTTTACCTACATTTTTTGAGATTTGGTGTTATATCATTCAACTTCGGAGAAGTTAGTAACTAAGATTTTTTAGTTCTGTTAGGTTTTTAGTTTCAATAAGAACTAATCTTTTCCAAATTTATTCTTGTTTAGGAAGCGTTATCAGATGATGATTATCAAGAAGAAGACAACGACTATATCCATTCCTATTTTGATAATGGCGAAAATTATGGTGATGTTGGTTCAGATGATAATTTAGATGATGATAATGCATTTTAATCACTCATTTTTACTATTAGTGTAATTGTATTATATGTTGTCATCCAGACAAAATTTCGGCAAATCTAGTACTGCATCAAGTCACAGTCTTGAGTGAGCAGTTTACGATATGTTTAGTTGTCAAAGAAAGTGTTAATATTTTTTATTAATGTTCCCTTTTCTTTTACTAATAATTTGTATGTACAGATCTGTGTTTCTTAAAGACACGAAGGTGGGAATATTTTTAGTTTTTGACTTTTGGAGTTAAAATGTCAGTGTGGTGATCTCTCAGAATGTTTTGAATAAATCTTTCAAGAAAATGGTCTAATCTCTTTTATGTGGCCTAATTTTATCTTGGCTTCTTGAAAATTCTTCTCATGTTTGAACAAAGTGATCGGCAGTTTTTTGAGATTGTAATTTAGAAATAAAAACTATCAATTATTAAATTCATGAAGCAATCTCGTGTTTGAAGTCTTGTCACCATTCCCTAGTTTAATTCGTCACACAGAAGTCTTTTTTACTTCTCAAGTTTCTTAGCGCTTATTACTACATTCTTTCAAGTTTTATTTACTGTCTGACTGTTTTAGTTTTTTTTAAAAGAATTTTGCAGAAAGGAACTCTCAGTTTATAATCATATATTTGTGCTGTAATGCATTTTAAATGATATATTAGACGTTGTTAGTCTAATTTTTCAGTATTAAAAACTAGACATTTTGAAGCATTTCTTAAAAACTTCTGAAGCATTGTCAGCTAGATTTAAGAAAAATCTGATATCAGAGTAGTTAAAGGAGTCGAAATTCATATTTGGTATCTGGTAAAATTGTTTTCAGGACAGTAAAGTTGTTTTTTGGGACAAACATAAAGCAACATGTCCAGATTGTGGCATTTAACTGTTTTTGAAACGTCAACAAATTTTTACATCGTTGGTTCAGACGTCGAGAAAACTCGTTTTCGCTTACTGAAAATTAGTCGCAAAGAAACACAGAATTTGAATATCGTTGAAGTTGAGCAAGATTATACAAAGGAAGATGTAATGAAATTTTTGTCGACAAGTCCCGAGGGAAATCCCAGTTAGTGAATCTTTTAGCACTATAAGATGTCGGGTTCGCTATTCTCAAAATTCAATGTAGGAAATCTTAAAGTAAAAGATTGCTCAGTAGTTTTTACTTTTTATTTTTTAATTTACTACCAAGCATTAACTCAATTCTACTATTACATAGTTGAAATTTAATTGGATGAGTTAATTTTGTTATTCGAAAAAATTTCCCAAAATTACTTGTTCTAGGAAGTGAAATATCTTTTCATCGAGTTGAATTTTATTGCAAATAGTAAATTAATATTTATTTTTAGAAATAGCCTGATTTAGATTTCGTTGATTTGCAGTTGTTCTTGTTCAAAACAAAAGGCAATCACTGGGTGTTGACCGATGGAAAGGTTTGATTGAGCGCGCATCGAATGCTTTTGGGTTACTTGGAGCTGTTCGATTTCTCGAAGGATACTATTTATTGGTAATGCAGTTATTTTCTGTCGTGCATAGTCAGACATTTTTTTAATTCTGAATGTTTCAGACTGAACAGCTTCTTTGAAGTCACTAGTTTCAAGCAAAAACTCCTTGAAACGTTCTTCTCTCTCAAGTACCTTTTTTTTTTCTAAATTTTCTAATTTCTTATTTTTTTTATATTTTTTCTTTGTATGCAAGCATACTACTTTGTTAACCCAAAAAATTTTTTTTCAGATTGTAACTAAAGCTCGTGTTGTTGCCACTATAGGATACCATGAAATTTATAAAATTGAAGAAGTTGCTCTTATTTCATTAGCATCTGAAGGGATTGCAGCAGACAATCCAGATGAACTGCGCTATCTGAAGTTATTTCAAGTCATTTTTTCACTCATTTTATTAGTTTGTATTTTAAGTGATTACTGTACTATCTTTGTCTGGTATTTGAGTAATGAAAAGAGACGATTTATAACGAATACGACTACACTTATATAAGAGAAATTAAAAATTAATTTCAATCGGCAATTTAAGCAAACACAAAAAATTCGATGATTCTTATAGTCTGTGGATTTATCAACAGATTTTTACTTTTCGTACGCATATGTCTTGAGTCGAACACTGCAAGAAAATGCATTGGGTGTATCCAATTGGTCCAGATGTGATCAGACGGATAAGACTTATCAGTTGGGTCGTGATTCGAAATTTATTTGGAATAATTATTTGTTAGAGCCACTACGTGAAAATTTGGTGACTAATCAGTGGCTGATTGAAATCGTTCATGGATATATTGGTTTGTTTGTTTACACGAAAATTTTTGACTAAACATAGCTTGCATGTATATTATGCTTAAGCATTTTTTTATCAATGAAAAATATGAGTAATGATAAAAAAACTTTCAGGTCAGCAAATAATTGAATTGCCCTGCTCACGGCTGTCATTAACGTTAATTGGACGTCGTTCTGCAGAATATGCTGGTACAAGATATCTTAAACGAGGTGCTAATTTCAGAGGTTATCTTTTTGAATTACAGCAAATTATCTGCTAATTGGTCAGCGAATATTTATTTCTGCTATTAATGCTATTTACTTTGTATTTTTTGTATGTATTCAAACCTTTACTTATTTTTTAAACCAAAGACTTTCGATAATTTTAATTTCGACTTCAAAAAAACTTTGTAACTGAAGTTCCGTGATTATTTTCTTCAGATTTAAAATTAAAATTTGTTATTTTTCCTTGAATCGACAATATAAAATTCGTGACACCAGAAAAGCATTTGATTTTAGTACTTTATTAAATGCAGTAGTTTATTTGGATGATAATAGTATTCGTATCTACGAATTTTCTAGCAAAAATAGTGGTCGAGGATATGCACGACGTATTCATCTTTGTTAGTTTTATATTTTCAATTATATATTTTTTAGTATTGCAGGTCAAGTAGCAAATGATGTTGAAACAGAACAAATCATTTGGGATATGCGCTCTTCACCCAATTTCAAAGTTGGAAAGTTCAGCTCTTTTGTACAACGTCGAGGATCCGTACCACTTATTTGGAGCCAAGATCCAGCTACTCGTGGTGTTGTTGGCAAACCCGTCATATCCATTGATATCAACGAACCACATGCTCAAACTGCAGCAGCTCATTTTCGGTATTATTGATGTGTATGTTGTGGTATGAAAAATTCATTAATCAAAAATGTTTTCATACGTGTTATAACAAAAGTTGTTGATTGAAATTTATTAAATCTCTCAATATTGGTTTGTACATAAAAGTTTAGCTACTACATAATATCTTGATTGAATTCTCTGGGGCCATCAAAGCATTCATCTTTGAATAGCATTTTATTTGGAAGTATAAATGAAAATCTTACTTGCAATAATTATTTGATAGAGTTAGGTCTTTATTATTTTTTTCACCTATGAGGTTTTTAGTGAGTTACGAAAAAAATATGGAAGTCCCATTACTGTCATGAATTTGGTCAAACGACGGGAGAAAAGAAGACATGAAACCTTGCTGCATGATCAGTTTCTTAAAGTAAGTTGTTAATTTTCAAAATAATCTTTTCATATAAATTTAATTAACTTTCACATGAAGAGAGCAACAACATTTAAAACTATTTTCAGGCAGTTAACTATTTAAACTTGTTCTTACCAAAGACAGAACGAATTGCATATTTAAGCTTTGATGTAGCTCGTTGTCATAAAACTGGAAATGTCTTGAGCAAGCTGGACGAAATAGGCTTTCGGTGTGTTCTTCGACATGGGTGGTTTCAGGTTTGATTCTCATATTAAAAAAAATTTTTTTTTCAATGTTCGTCGTTTTAAAAATGATGATTTTTGTAAAGAATAACTACAACGATCTTATAAAATAATCAGTCAATGAAAAAAATTCACGAAGCATATAAGCATTTGAGAACAAAGATAGTAGGTGGCAAAAATTTAGGAATAAGAAGTATATCATGTTTTGTTCCTGATCTTTTTTAAGTGCTGTATTCTTAATTGCTTTGAAATTGAAACTGAGGAAAAAAAGCTAGAGGATTGATGGTAAAAATCATTCACTTTGTTATTCATGAAATACAATTATCCATGTCGACTAATTTTTTTAAATTTTAGATGTAAAGATAAAATATGTTTCATCCATTTCATTTTGACTAAGATATTAGAACACAGAAAATCATAGTGTTTATAAGTTTAAATTAAATATTTTTGTCTCATTATCTCGAAGTTACACCTTTACAATATTTATTATGATATTTGTCTGCCTTTTTCTGAACTTTGAATCGGAATTATGTTTGTTTGCAGACATATCCTTCTGTGTACTGTCACAAATTGAGACCGAATTCATTACTTAATGAATTTGAGCCTTTGATTAGTGAGGATGGCAGATTTCTACTGCAGCGTGGAATTTTTAGAACTAACTGTGTGGACTGCTTGGATAGGACGAATGTTACTCAATTTGCAATTGGTGAATTCAAATTGCTTTAGTTTAAAAAAATTTACTTTCAAAATGCACGAGAAATATTTTTTGCTTAATTATTTGGTTAGATTGCTCTTTCAGGCAAAGTATCACTTGGACTTCAATTATATTCGATGGGTTTTGTTGGGGAGCCTGTGCTTTCACCGTCAAGTGAGGTTTGTCGAATTTATGAAGATTTAATGGATCAGCATGGTGATACTTTAGCATTGCAGTATGCTGGATCTCAGTTGGTACATTCCATCAAAACTTATAAGAAAATTTCGGTCATACAGGTTCGTTTTAAATTTATGCTTAACAGCAAAATTTATGCATTTCGTGCTATAATAGGCATTTGCCTCATCATGCATAAAATATTGTTAAACAGTCCTATTCATAACGAAAAATTTTTTTTGAAAAGAAGTTCACGTTTAAAAGGTTAAAAAAAAGTTTGAAATTACAGCTTTCTATAGTGCCATATCAAAAAATTGAAATTTGTCTTAGTTTTTGAAAGTATTTCATTAATTATATATATTTATAATGGGGTAATGTATAGACAATTATTTCAGGAAAGGAGTCGTGATGTTATTCAAACTCTGTCGAGGTATTACAGCAATACTTTTGGTGATTACGACAAGCAAAATGCAATTAACTTGTTTTTAGGCGTTTTCAGGTTATTTCAACTCAGTTTCTCATTTATCTCACAAATGCTTTGTTAATAAATGTTAAATCTCTGTGATACTTCAACTTCAAAAAAATTTATTTACATTAATATTTTTCTGTTTGGAACTTTATAGTGGGAACTATTAATTCATCTACTATGTCCCTCATATGAAACATGTTTTCAAACACCATTATTTGTTTAATTTTAGAATTTATTGAAGCTACCGATGAAGTAATTTCACAACTCTTTTCATGTTTTATTTTCTCTTATTGTTTTCAGACCTAGTAAAGCAAATATTAACTTATGGGATCTTGGAACTGACCATTATCTTCATTTTCCTACTGATTTCAAGATGAAAGCGGATTACTGTGCATGGTTTATCGATTCCGATGTTTTAGAAAGCTGTTTTGATTGCAAGGATTATAATCATTTAACTAATGGTAATACATTTTCTAAAAGTAAATTATATCGCTAATTATTAATTTGATTAAGAGCCATATTACAACATTGCTGGATTTACAGTATAATTGCTTTTCTAAAAATAGAAATTCTATCGCATAAGCTGGTGTTAACTACGTAGCTAAATTTTATGATGTTTGACGAAATATGTTGTATATTTAAGCACCTTCAATATCTTGTTGTCAGTATCCTGTCTCGATGGATGAACTTTATTATGTACATTATCGTTTGTGGGAACTTACAAAACTGGATGATTTAATTCGTGATCAGAAAGATCTACAAAAATCTGTCACTGTCGATGGTGTGAATCAAAGCGTTGCACAAGGGTATAGCTTTGCTAAACTCTGGAAGGTTTTAAATATTTTTGATTCTTGTTATACCAAATCATATTCATTATTTTACTTCGAAAATATCTGAAGTTGAGGGATTCAGACTTGTCTTTTTGTTCAATTTTCTGGTTACCAATTTCAAACTTTTGTATTTTATGGAAAAGTTCCACGTTGAATCCAAACAACTTTGTCAATAATTTCAGCAAAATGCAACAGACAAAATTAGTGTGAAGCAAGCGAAAACTACATTATCTGATGATTATGATGAAGAGGATGAGCCATTGTTAAAATCTGATACAGAAGCACATTACGAATGCGGTTTTACATCAGTCAGCAAACATTTATTTAATCACAGTTTTTTATTGTTTTGTTGTTTCTATTTTTTTTTTCGAAAAATGTTCTTTTAGGAAACTTATTTCTTTGTCAGTATTTGTGTTTTCAGAATTCATATTGCACATATAATTTCAGATCGGCAAACTTTATTTATCTTCTCCAGTAAATCAGGAAAAAACTTTCGTAGTAAAAAGTCCTGGTTAGTATATATTATGTAGTTTTCACATTTTTTATATACTTCATTAAGAGAGCGATAATTATGGGATTACTATATTTTTGAATTTGTTATTTACTTTTCAGGCCGTAAAGCAATAAGTTTTGGTATATTGTCAACCAGAGAAGCGTATGGATTTGAAATTAAGCAGCCTAGTGAATCTGATATGGCAAAATATGTGAAATATGCACAGCTTGACGGTTGCACTGTCAGTAAGGTAAATTTTCAAATTTTCTTAAAACTAAAGAAAATTTCTTATTCATTCGCTACAATTTCGTACCTAATACTTTGAAACTACAAATTGACCACAGTTGATTTTATCTAAAAGCAACATTGTAAATATCTAGGATTTGTGCTCGCCGGGAATGCCGAAACGACTAAATGATTTGTCGCACTCAGCAGTTCTTAATTACAGTAATTTGGAACCAACTTCATTTTTCACATCTGATAGTATTTATTCGGTTAGCCGTGCAGTTTGTATTTCTCCATTTTTTATGCTCAGATTGTTGAGATGTTTGAAAATTTTCAGTACTTTTGATATTCATTTTCATTTATGCAGTAGTTCAGTGCAATAAGTTTGGGAAAAGCTTAGAAAATATATCCGTATTGTGTTGTTCATTTCAGACTTACCTTTCGCCTGTTTCAAAATCCTCAATGAAAATTTTTATGCAAACTATTGACTGCGCTCAGCATGGCCCCACAAATCCTTCACAAACTGATATGGAAAAATATAAGAATTATGCTCATGACAAATGCGAATTGTGTTCGTGAAAACCCTTGCTCATTTTGTTCATGCAATTTTGTAATTCCAATGTTTGTGGCTTTGGAAAACAAGTGTTTTTTAATCTTTGCAAGCAGATAGAAGATACGTCTAAATTATCTCGAAACTGCTGAATGAAATTAAAGCCTTTATTGATGAAGTCCTTAATTTAATGCTTGATTTATGGTATAATATAGAAAGAAATATTGCGATCATAGACTTTATCACCGGATTTGAGAGGTCTTGTTTTGGTGTGGTTTATGTATTTTATAACGTTTTTGATCTTGAAAAGTAGACTTACAATATGAAGTAGTAATTTAGCGGCGGATTTTTTACTGTATAAGAAATATGTATTGGTATAGATGTAATTAGAAAAGTTTTCATATATTTTGTTATTCATTAGGACTGTTATCAAATAAAAAGTAATACATGAGACGTAAGGATTTTAGGTGCTACTTTTGCGGTAAATTAGCAGATATATTAGGTAGAATATAGGTCGATTGTTGAAATTTGATGATATGAGTGCATTATTTAGTTCTGGATCTTAATTTTATTACTACTTTCATGAATAACAAAGTATGTGAACAGTTAAGCTTGTCAGTCACATTTCAAATTATTTGCGAAAAACAATTTTTGCATGTGTCCTGTAGAATGGTCATGATGCTTGCACACTTTTGTGAATATATTTACTTCACTCATATGAATGGTATGTATGCTATGTCACTTTGATAGGAATTGGAATCAATTTTATTTATGCATGGGAATTAGTGGTGATGATAAGATTAGTTTCAAATAACTTTGTAGCAAAGAATTTGCGAAAATTCTTTGATGCTTGACTATTTTATTGTTGGCATGTTCAGTGTGAAGCTTTTAGTCTCTTATTTACTTGTTTCTAAATTAATTAATCAGTAGTATCAACTAAATTATAAAAGATCGCAATCAATCAATGCATGACTGTGTTCTGTTCAAGGGCATAATTGAACAAGCTCATCTGCTTGAATGCGCAAGTAATTTGTAATTAATTGATTAGTTATTACTTGCATGGTATTTATGAGAGTAGTTTGGTGCATAAGAATGGAAATTATGCTAGCTTACAATAAAAGTAAGGAAAGTTTTAAGCAAAAAAAAAGTCGCTAAAGCTGACGGATGTTTTTTTGATGTTCCGAAATCAGTTTGTAAAAAATCTTGTGGTTCACTATGAAGTAGAAGTCTTTTTTTCAAACCTAGCTATATTTGGAAATGTAAACAGAATGCCAACATTTCTGCTACAGTTTCCTTTCCAGTTTGGTGCTATCGTTGGGTAGATGATTCGATAGTGTTGTGAGTGTATAATTTAAAATTCGTTGTACAAAAGTTTGTCTTGTTTTCATTTAAATTTGTAGCTTTGCATTTTACAGCTAATTTATTAGCATCTTTTCTGATTTATTTCTTTCCTGATATCATATTGAATTTCAGTAAATAATGAATTTAATTTATTTAAAACTATCGTTTAAGATGAGCAGTGATGCATTACGAAGAACTGTTTTCATGTTCAAGATGCATTTATAGCTAAAATATGAAACGCGAGAAGTGGCGTTATTACGACATAAGGCTTATGTAAGACATAAGCAAGAATAATTCGCTAATTTATTTTTTTATATTTTTATAATTTAAATCATTGAAAAAGGAAACAACTGTTGAAAGCTAATCTCTTCTTGTGTAAAAATAGAATCAGACTAGTTCTTTTTTTTGAGCTATCGAAGTCAGTAATATATCCATCTTTGTTCGATCTTTGTGTAAATGTTAAATTCTTTGAGCTTCTGTTATCATTATCAGTTATTTTTTGTTCATATTTGACCTTAACTTAGGGAGTGTGATAATGCAAAGAATTGACATGGCAAAATTACACAAATAAATACTATAAATAAATGTCAAGTTTTAAAAATTAATATGATTTTTAAAATATATATATATATTTTAAAACAAATTAGTTTATTAGCACGATTTACCTTCTTTTTTTACATTAAATTATCAGTGCTATGCAAAACAACTGAGTTTTTGTCGTAACAAAGTAATTTTGGATATTTGACGTCAAAATATATTCGTTTTTCCATTCAATTTATATGTTTATTGTCGAGAGACACAACAGTTTTTGATGTATTTCCTGCGGGAAGGCAAAAATAGTTTGCCTGTTTTGTTCATCAAAAGACTAATTAGTTTTAGTCAGAATTGCTCATATTATTTACTATTTTTGTTCATCTAATTAACTCCATCACTGATAAAATTGCTATTACTGTAATATCGATTGAATTTAAAAGTAATCATGTAATCTCCATCAATTAATTAATAGCTAAGTTAATTTGCAACTGATGCAATCGCATTATGCTATCTACAAATTTCAATAATAATTTTTCAAATTTGATAACTAATCATAGTAATTTGTTTGCTAATCTAAAATAAATCCGGCAGTTGCATTGTCTGTTGTGCTATCGAAGCAGAATTGAATATCTCTTTAGTTAGTAATGTTCTTCTTAAAATAAACCTTTGAATACGTCATGAAAGTGGCTAAAATGGCCTAGATGGACTAAGTTGAACACAGCTTGACTAGACTAGTTTAGGTTAGCCTAGTCTACTTACTATTAATGATGGCATTTTACTGTTTCTGTTTGCGTGTATTTTCATTCTCTTCCATACTTCAATTGCTTCTATCATTTTAAACATCGACTATTGTTAGCTGCCATTGCTGCGAGAAGAGTAGTAAATCAATTTTCATGGTTCAGTAATTGAGGTTATAGATCATGGATTAATTCTAGTAATAATTAGTATGAGATCTGGATGTTACTGGTGATAATTTATAATGAAGAGAAAAAATGTGCAAAAATTAAAGAGTCTTACTGAATTTTTATTTTTAAATGGAAATCTCACGTAGACGAATTACCAGTACATATTTGAAATTTAACTTACGTCTGACTGAATAAGTTTTCTTAACTTAATGTACTCACGTGAAAACGTCAATGGATACTTTGTACTTAAACTTGTTCTTTTGTCATCATGGAAAATAGAAAATACATTACAAGTTTTGTTGATTGCAACAGTTATTGTATGTACTTTATTATCGTAATGAGCATCATTATCATCGTACAATACTAACTGCCAACTATTAGCTGATTATCAATTTAATACACGTCATTTTGTTTAGATTTATGTAGAACCTGGAAATTAATCAGAATTGAAGAAAGAACTGAATTACTTTTATTAGTCAATCAGAGTATTTGTATGCAAGTAAGTATGTTATAGTCATGCATTATTTGTGTTGCACTTTAATTATTTGTTCAAAAATTAGCCCACTCTAAAACTTTTATTTTAAATAACAAAGTAAAAAGTGTAAAGTTTTCAAAAAATTGCAACATATTAATAAAATATATTATTAAGTAAGCGAAAAAGAATTCTTACAATACGAAAATTTGCCTTTGTGACTATTTTTGCTTTTTTCAAGGATTTTGATTTTATAGTAAGTATTAGTATTTTAAGATTCGTACAAATATTTAATCGTTTTTTTACTTTTCAACATCAAATTGTGTTTTATTATTATTATTATTATTATTGATATTATTGTTATTATTGATATTAGATGAATATGAATAAAAATTTTATAATACGAAGAAAATGCCAAAAAAGGAAAGAAGAGAATTTGCAAAAATTTTTCGTTCTTCACTTATTCACTCTAATGACAAATTAATGCATTGTGTGTAAAACCAATTTAATCCATCAGTATTATTATTAGTATTAATGGCATTTATGAAGTGATAATAATTCTTTTTTTTTAATAATTTTAATACAAAAAAACTATAAAATATATTTTTTAAAGTTTTTATTATCATTTGATATGTTATTATTATTATTATCATTATTATTATTTATAATGCATTATTTTATACAGCAAGTATTGAGGATAAATCTTTGCAAAAATTTCTAACAGTCATTTGTATTGCTAATTTATATGAGAAAAAATGCAAGCAGAAAAAAGAATGAACTTTTTAATATTTATCATATTAATCTTGCAGAATTTTTAAGCTTCAAAAAAGTATTAAACTGAGAGGTTGAAAGAAATTTCAGTGTTAATTAAAGTTTTGATATTGTCAAGTAGTTAATTTCAAATTAATATCAGTTGCTAATGAGAAAAATGAGTTTATAATTTGTTGCCAGGCGGCCGACTGAAAAAGTAAGTCATTTAATTTCAGTAAAAGTAAGTTATTTGATTTCATCGAAAAATAATATCTCAGTAGTTATTTTGAGTAAAAAGTAAGTAAGTAAGTTAATTTTATCAAAAGAGTACGTCAGGTAATTGCAGCACGAAGTAAGTCAATTAATTTTAGCACTTGAAAGTAAAGTTGTGCAAGTTTAGTGATAGCAGAAGCGTTAGAATAAAATATTCATTTGAAAGTAAAAATAAATAAATATATGCAAGCAAATAATTGAACACTTCTGGCGTAGATTTGGAATTTCAGATGGCAAAATTAATTGAATTGTGTTGAGCATTCCGAGACTGAATTTCTGTTTTTACTTTCATCCAATTTTTTGCTTCAAATGGAACAAACAACGACCAAATTACTTACTTACTTATTTTGTAGCAACTGTAATCTCTTATTGTTATTGCATTAGTAATGTATTCAATATTGTGAGGGAGTCTTTCACTTTTTAATACAATTAACACCGAAATTATCACTAAATGTCACAAAAAAACTGCAGAATTTAATTAATTAACATTTTTTATTAACTTAATACAATTAATAAAAATTACTTTGTTAATTTTGAAAAATTTTTTGGTCAAAAGTTTGTTTGATCAAAATTAATAACAGAACAATTCAAAAATTGCAAAGAACTAATACAAAAATGCAAATATAAATTTTTGAATAATTAGTACAAAAATCTATATTTGCATTTTTTTCACTAAAGACCAATAATGAAAATCGCTAAATTCATTTTTTTATTTGTAACTATAATGATTATTATTATTATTATT